CGCATCTTTACATAGATGCTAAATGTAATGCAGAAATTATAATGCTTTATTAATGATAATAGATATATACGTAGTAGATATTTACGTTGTGATTGAATTGCATAATGTTAAAGAGATAAAAATTTATAAGACATTCTTATGTATAGCCGTTGTAACGTTATTAATTACTCTGGCGTAATTTTTTAGAAATAATAGATTTTTTTTTAAATTCTAATTTTAACATTAATATTTTTTTATTATTTTCCAGATGGAAGAAATACATGGAAAAAAATTGGTATCAAAATTTATGTTTAATCTTTGCTCATGTCGTTACGTGCTCATAGTAATGCTCTTGTCGTAATACCGCTTTGATTGTAATGTGCTGTGCGATACCTGCGAGTACTGAGTACTATACATAATTGGGAAGAACATATACCACACAATACTTTGCAGGCAGTATCTTTTTTTTTATCATATTTTGTTTGATATTGTCTACATTTCGTCATCAACATAAGTAGGAGTAATGGGAGAAGTTTTATATTTGCTATGTGTGTAATGGGAGAAGTTTTATATTTGCTATTAATGTGTTTCATTGGAATTTTATAAACGTCAGAAAAAAAACATTATTTTTCTTTTGTAAATTAATTTCATCGCATTTCACACACACACATTATATGTAATATTTTATTACTGACTAATACTTCTGTTGAAATTTATCTTGAGACCATCTCAACGATATGGCTGGAATATTAGAAACTTAATTAAATCTATCTTTAAATATAAAGCTCATCTATAAATTCCGGTCATAGATTTATGTTCAAAATAATTTGCAAATATTGAATTCAAAATAATTCTATGATTATCCAATACTATTATATATGCTGCAATATAAACAGTAGTATTTTTAAAAAATAATTACTTGCAATGCTATAGGAAATCTTTGTATTAAAAATTCCAAAAATAAGTTTCAACAATTTTTATTTAATTTTTTTTAAATTATATTTTTAATATTAAATTATATTTTTAACATTAATTTCTTTATTATTTTCCAGATGGAAGAAATATGTGGAAAAAAACCTGGTACTAAAATTTATGTTTATGATAATTATACTTATAACAAGGATTCTCGTAATCCGAATATTCTACGATGTAATACTCGTCGATCTTCAAAATGTGCTGGCACTCTTAAAATTGATGAGGATGGCAAAATACATTTAATTCAAGATCATACTCATATTCCAATAAAATGGAAAGTAAAACAGTCCCTTATGAAACAAGAGATGCTAAAACTTTGTCGCGATACATCTTTACCACCAAAAGAAATATTCGATAGTGTCTGCAGAAAGTATGTATTTTTTAAGTTTTGGTATTTTTGGAATTACATTAAGTATTTTTCAAATAATTCTTTTTATGTAAAAACTAAGCAGTAGAATGGAGTAACAGTGAAATAATAGCATATATATAAATCTTTTTTCAAATAATAATTATCATTTTAATGAGCATTTAGTTTAAATACAGAAGAGATTATAACTCCTTGTGTTTTTTAAAATTATTTTATATTTTAATGATATATATATATGTGTGTGTGTGTGTGTGTGTGTGTGTGTGTGTGTGTGTGTGTGTGTGTGTGTGTGTGTGTATTGTACACATACATACGCACACGTATAAATAAGTATTAATAATTTAGTCACATGTTTAATGTAAAATATTTGTTTCAAAAAGAACGTATTTTATACTAATATTTTATGACTCTAAAAAAGTTTATAACACTTCATTTTTTGTTTCTTTTAATTATTTAAAATGTACTGAAATGGATGCAGATCAAAATTTTTATTTATACATTAAAGTAAGAAACAACAAATAATTTAAAAAACATAGGTTGCTCTACAGATTACTTATATGTATTGAATGTTTTTATCTACAATGGAAACATGTTTGTTCTTTTTTTGGTAATTAACATTCCTCTAAATTATGATATTCTATCCCTTATATAAATTTATATATATTCTACAAGAAAATTAAAACGTTAAGAATCAAATATTTTGTATAATATCGAGTATTTTGTAGAAAAGATGCAGTTCACAAATAATTACAAATAAAATTTTCTTACACACATACACACATTAACTAAGGAAAACCAATAATAAAACATTTAAAAATTATATATATTATGTATTCATTTTATGTATTTTATATTTTTTATATTATATTTTATATTATTTACATATATATTATATATATTTACAGTTATCCAAAAAAAAGAAATAATTTATTTTATATTAGTAGTTTATTTTTTATTTAAGAATGTTATATTAGCTTAAAAAAATTAGGGAACATGTTTAAAATATTATCACATGATATCTGTGCTACCTTAGTTAATTTTTGTCTGAATTTCAATGCTTCGAAATATCTTTATTCTATTTTTATTTTCATGAAATATAGAGAAAAGATAAAATGATATTTTGAAGCATTCGTAGCATAGTTTTCACCGCAGCTTAAGTTTATCGATGAGTTGGACGGATAGTGATCGACTATTAGATAGAAAATTCATAGAATCTTATTTGACACCAGAAATTCTCTATTTAATAATCTCTATTTAATCAATATCGCTACATCTGATAACGTCGATGACGTTAAGTGACATCGCAGTCTAAATCTCGTAATAAATATAGAGTGCATGCGGATACATATTTCTCGTGCAATTTTCCCGCAATATATAGCTTAACCTTTATTCATGTCACGTGCCTGAAATGCTCTTGTGATAATCGCTTTTTTTAGAACTATTGTGCTTATGTTTAATCTAATAAGTACACTTGCATTTTCCATATATAACTTTATGTCATTATGTGTTACGAAATGCCCTTGTAATTGATTCTGTTGTAACGTGCTGAATATCTCCGAGTACTGATAACTATACAATTGAAAAGAGTATGTATTAAAATACTTTGTAAATAGTATTGTTCTATACCAAACATAGTTTTGCCTGTTATCTATGTTTTGTTATCAACATAAATAATAAGCGAGGATTTTTTTTCTATTTAAGTTTGAGATATGAATAGTAGACATCATTTGTCCAGATATCAATCTCAATTCTGCAATTAACGTAAAAATTTTATTCTTGCTTAAATTCATATTGATTGCTTGTTATATAGATATCCTGAAACAGCTGCAACATTATCATACGTAACATTGAAAACTACATTGTACCGTGAAAGACTCAAGCTTCGCCCAAATTTACCAAAATGTATGGACACTCTTGCTGCGAATTTATCAACATATGGACCGCTTCAAAGATTTTACAAAGGAAATGTGACCAGCGTCGATGGAAAAAAAGCATTAATATTTACAAGTGATGAATTGTTGCAAGAATTACAAAAATCTACAGAACTTTATGGCACATTTAATGTAAGTTGTATATTTTATAATACAGTATATTATTATTTTCATATATCAAAATAAAAGTAATATATTTTTGAATTAAAAGTAATATATTTTTGTAAATAATATACATTTTTTAGATTGTTCCACGTGTACCATTGATGAGTCAAATGTATACATTACATACTCGATATATGAATGTAGTAAGTACATAGTAACATAGCATGTATTATCAGCTGCAGTTTGCCCACGTTCAATACATAAATATTATTCGATATAACATAAAAAGTTAGCAAGGAAATGTAATAAGGAATTTCTTCCATCTGTTTTTTACATCTGATTTTTTACAAAATACTATTTTGTTACCAAGTAGTGATTTCATATTTTTAAAAAATAAACATAAAAGTTCAAGTTAATTAAAAAAATGTGGTTTGATATATATTTTATATGTATACTATGAAATTAGAAAGTACGATAAAAGTATAATTCCTTTATTTTTTATATAATAAATTTATATGTATTTTTTAAATATTTGCTTTCTTTTTAAAAATAGTAATAAAATTATAAGATTTGAACAATAATTCAAACTGTTTAATTTTTACTCTTTTATATTTAAATTTATTTAATTTTATAATATAGGAATACTATAATACATAATAGGAATACTATATTCAGTAATATTTTATAGGGTATTGCCATGATCTTTATTTTGTGTGAAAGTCGTTCTAGTAATATGTACAGAGCTATTTGGAATAAAATTATAGAATTAGTGCCAATGCTTCAACAAAATTTAAAGTTTATAATGAGCGACTATGAAATGGCAGCCATGAAAGTGATAAATGAACAATTTCCAGCAGCAGAAGCACATGGATGCTGGTTTCACTATAATCAAGTATATTATAATAGTATTATATTACATTATAATATATTGTTTTTTTTATTTTATATGATTTATATACAGTAGTCATTATAAAGAATATATAAATATTATAGGCACTTTTGCGTCAATGGCGGCGATTAGGATTAATGGACGCACCTCGAAACGTTTTATCAATGACTATGACTACCCAGTAAGCAAGAAACATTTGATCAACATTCTAAAATGTTGATTTTATATAAATTTTCTAAACATTATGATATAATGTTTTATAAATATTTTTAAAATATTCTAATAAACATATTAATAACATTTACAAAGTATTTTAATTTATGTTTTATAAATATTTTAAAAATGTTATTTAATAACATCTCTCTTAAAATATTAATAAAATATTTTAGAAACATTAGTCAAAATGTTTTTTATATGTTATTAATATGTTTATTATAAATAAAAATATAACATTTAGTTACAAGTTCGTTCGCATTGTTATTAAACGTCGTATTATTTATTTCATACATATCTTTAGACTATTTTTTTCATAATATATCTTAATTTCTTTTTCGTAACGGGCCTGACGACACCTAATACGTTACTGAGAAGGAACATTGCGTGGGATATGCGTATACGCTCTATTGCGTATGCGTGATTTATTCTTTTGTTCTTCGGAACACTTGTGTCGGCTGCCACGTGCTCTTATAATCGATTTCGCAATAAGTAAATTATACAGTGTTTTTGCAAGTTATTGCTGCGAAAGAAGAAGAAAGTGTGTTATAATATCGAAAGAAGAGGAAAGTGTGTTATAATATCTTGTAAGTTATTTTTATGGCTAAAAATTAAATATGTCTAAATATTCGTTCTCGAATTTTTCAGTGAAAATTCTATAAAATCAGCTTATTCGTGTTAAGTTTCGCGTTAAGTTCTATTGTAGAATTGTCCTAGTCAATCATAAAACATTTCTATGTTGTCAGTTATTTCAAAGGCAAACAGAGAAAACATTCTGTGTTGTAGAATGTTTTTTTGTTTGCCTTTGAAACTGCGTATAAGACTTATAGAAATGTTAAGGAAATTGGATACATGTGCACGAATGATTATAAATTCAAAATTTGTTAGTGTGTATGTGTTTGAAAGAGAGAGAGAGAGGGGGGAGGGAGAGAGAGGGGGAGGGAGAGGGAGGGAGGGGGAGGGAGAGAGAGAGAGAGAGAGAGATGAGAGCAGATAGAGATTATAATAAAAGCAATACTCACATTAATATTCATATACATACTGATTTCTATAACATTTACACATTTTTTTCTAAACAATGTCATAAAATTTAATTTTACAAAACGAAATAATTATATTAATTATATTAATAATTATATTAATTATATTAATTATATATGATTGTCTGTGATTTTTTCTATTAATTTGTACTTGTCTTTTGTTGATTATAGAGGTCAATCGAAAATGGATAAACCAAGTTGTTCATCACATAAGGTAAATATAATTTATAAAAAACTTCTACATTAAAATGTTTTCACGAACTGAGTCCAAACTTTTTAATAATTACGTTATAACAATTACGTTATTTTAATAATTACGTTATAAATTAACAGATAAAAGCTAAAATAAAATTTTATAAATTTAAATATTTATTTTTAGTTCTATAAAAAATGTCATACCGAAAAGTATTTAAAGAGAGTTATAAAACAAAATATTAAAGTAAATGCTAAAGATATATCAAAAGAAAATCGTCCAAGTAAAAATTACACTCAAAGAAAAGAAATACAAGAAGTTTCATCAGCATCCTTATGTTCAGTAGAACAACCAATATAATAGTTTATCTCAAAATTTATTAGAAATTAGTCAAATTTCAAGTAATTTATCTGATGCATTGTTTGCATCTTGTGATTCCAAATCATCACTTGAGATCTTTAAAGATCATCTCAGATGTTGGGCAATTGGACATCATATCGCACAAACAGCTATTAGCGATTTATTAAAAATAATAAAATCAGACTTAAAATTAAATTTATTACCTTCAGATGCACGGACTCTTTTTAAAACAAAAAATATAAACAATAAAATAGTAAATTTATCTCCTGGAAAGTATTATCACTTTGGATTAAAATCAAAATTGCTATTAAAATTAATTCAGAACGATTTTAAAGGTAATGAAGTTAATATATCAGTAAATATTGATGGACTTCCTCTCACGAAAAGTAGTGGTAGCCAATTTTGGCCTATTTTGATAAAAATCGATGAATTGGAGAAACTTAAACCATTTCCAATAGGTGTTTATCACGGAGAAACTAAACCAAACAACTCTAACATCTTTCTATTAAGATTTGTTGAAGAAATGAAGATTTTGCAAAACGAAGGTTTATGTTTATATGATAAAATAGTGAAAATAAGAATTAGTAAAATTCTCTGTGATGCTCCTGCAAAATCGTTCGTATTATGTATAAAAAATTTTAATTCTTATGCAAGTTGCCCTAAATGTTACGCTGAAGGATCATTTCAAAAGAACAGAATGACTTTTCCTGAATTGAATTCAAAATTAAGAACTAATGAAGAATTCTATTCTCAAAGTGATGAAGATTTTCACAAAGACACATCTATTTTATGTGTTTTAAAAATTGATTTTATTACAAGTGTTCCATTGGATTATATGCATCTGGTATTATTAGGCATAATGAAACGTTTATTGGGATTTTGGCTGAAAGGAAATAAAGAAGTCCGTCTGTTCAAAGAAGATATTGATGCTATAAATAAAAGAATAAAATTAATATATAAATCAACTCCCCGTGAATTTTCCAGAAAGCCTAGATTAATAACAGAATATGATAAATGGAAAGCTGTTGAATTGAGAACGTTTTTATTACATTATGGTCCATGGCTAATGAAACCATTTTTAAGAAACCAATACTTTCTTCATTTTCTTTCTCTACATTGTGCAATTAGAATTTTGGTTTGTCAAGACTTATTAGAAAAATATATTGATTATGCTAACGAATTATTAATGTATTTTGTAAACGAATTTGGTAATTTATATGGCAACGAATTTGTTAATCACAACGTTCACAATCTCATTCATTTAACATTAGACGTGAAGACATTTGGCTCATTAGATAAATTCAGTTGCTTTCCATTCGAAAATTATATGCATACAATTAAAATGATGATCAAAACGTCAAATAAACCACTATCGCAATTTATAAAAAGAGTAAACGAATATGATAAATATTTTTCCTTTAATAAAGAAAAAAAAAATTTTATTAAAGAAGATGGTCTTCGTTTAATAAACAATAAATCAGCAGAAGGTTTTTCAGCTATATATTATAAAAATTTTAGAGTGGAAGTTAAAGAACCCAACTGTAATTTTATTTTACAAAATAATCAACCTATAAAAATAATTGATATTTTACGGATTGATAATATATTTTATATCAAATATAAAAATTATAAAATAACACCCTATTTTGATAATCCGATGGAAAGTACTATATTTTGGTGTGGTTCTGTTGAAATGACTGATGAAGAACATATCACATCTGCTGACGATATATTAAGGAAAGCTTTCAAAATAAATGATTGTTTCGTGTCGATATTACACACAGACTGATTTGTAAATTGAAATTAATTACTTGTTACAATATAATACAACTATTATTTAATATAAATTTAGTATTTGTTGATTGTTCTTATTCTTTTTTTTAATTGACTATGATTTATATATCACATTACTCAGTAGTTAAGATGATGAATTTAATCTTTGGATTATTACCGTGAAAATTCGATTATTTGTAATATAAAATGCTGCTATTGATAATCTAAGAAGTACACGCGATGAACTCTGTGTCTCTGAAGAATTCACCGCACAATATAAGAAATCAGAGTAGGTCTGGTGCAACTGTGTTTGTGAAACTGCCTAAGAGAGAGATTTACGCAAAATATGCAACAAACTTTCTTTTATTAAAAAATAATTATACATATTAAATAAATAAAAAACAAATATATATTTCGGTAATCTAATGTTATCTTTTTTTTTTTAGTATGCAGTTGTACAATTTGACGATTTAGACTTTTCGGTGGTTCCCGTAATTTGGTTGGATGAACCACATCATTGTTATTGGCCTACAGGAATGAAAAACATTAGAACCGCAATTGTGAAAGAAATGTCCGTTAAAGACAATTTTATGAAATATAAATGTCAGATCTTTAGTAAACATGGTAAGTAAAATTAGATTATTATGCTTGACAAAGTCAGGAAAGTATTGTATGTACATGTTTATGACACTAATATTATTTTATTAATTGTCATGCTAATGAAAAGAAATGTTTATATACTTGTATTATAATAGATTTTATAATTTATAATTTAAGATATATATAAAAAATTAAAATAGTATATGTCGCCAGTAAATAACAAAACAAAACAAATTTTTTATAAGACGACATAACTGGCAATTTTTATTAAAAAGAAAAAACTACACATTTCGACCAACAATCGTGGTCCTCCTCAGGAATACATTAATTATTATATAAACAGTTATGTATAAATTGTCGAAGCTCATTTAAAATATGTGCTAAAATATGTGCTAAATATGTGATAAAATATATGTGCTAAAAAGATATGTTAGAAAGCACGTCTAAATCATAAGCCAGTTAATAAAAATTTTTATTATTAACTAGCCTGTGATTTAGACTGTGCTTTCCAACGCGTCTATTCCAGCGCATATATTTTTAAATGAGCTTTGACAATTTATACATAACTGTTTATATAATTAATGTATTCCTGAGGAGGACCACGATTATTGGTCGAAACATATAGTTTTTTCTTTTTAATAAAAATTGCCAGTTGTCTTATCAAAAATCTGTTTCTGACTTTTATGACACTTCATATAGCATTCATATGAATTTATATTTACCTCTATATGTATATAATGGAAATTATTTATATGTATATAGCATCATTATTTAATACCAAATATGCACATTATTTTATGAATTTTGTAATTTATAATTCTTTTTTATTATTAGATACTTATGAATCAGCCTTAGAGGCAGAGAAACAGATTGTAGCTACATCGGAATCTGAGGAGGCTGAATCAAGAATGGGGAAAAGAAAAATAAAAAATAATAAATATGACGACTATGTCAGTTTTCCTAATCCTCCGAGATTGTTATCATCCAAGGAATCACATAAATCAGGTATTGCAGGTTAATTTTTAAGTCTTTTTTGTGCAAACATATTTCCATTTTCAGAAATATGAATTACTTGTTTTACTGCTTGTACAAATTTAATCTTAACGTTTCACGAATTTTAAAATTATATGATTATTCTATATTTTTTGATCGAAATTATGTTGATAAATAGATTATTTTTTTCAAGAGAGTTTACAACCCTTAATTGTGTATATATTTTAAATTAAATTAAATCTTGAATTAAGTTTTGTTTTCTAAAAAAAACTTCTGTTGAATTTTACTTTATTTGAAAAAAGACAATATATAGAAATTTTTAAAATATTTATTATATACAATAATTTATTAATAATAAATGTAAATGTGTTTAGTAATATTAATCTAGATTTATTTTCTAAAAAAATTTCATAAGTGAAAATTTATAATTAGAAATAAAATAAAATAGGATATAAAACAAAATTAAAAACAACAAAATTTGTAAAATTAATAAAAATTGCTGCTATATTTTTACGTGGAAATAATTAAATCTACATAAAATAATAATTTAGTTTTTCACATTTAAGCGATATACAGTCAAAATTTTTTCTATTATTATAATTAGCGTAAATTATATATATGTATTGCGGAAAATGTTTTATTTCAGATAAGAGTTGAATTTAAGGCTTTTCATATTGGCCGAATTGGACGCCGTACTATTATATTATTATCCCATGAATTTAACTATTGCACTTAAAATGTTATCTTTCACAGTTGAATATACTAAAAAAAATTTACCTGTTTAAAATAAATATTTTTTATTTTTAGTTTCAACACACACGAATAAGGACAATGAAAATTCTAAATTAAATAATTCACAAGATATTAATGGTAATAAAAATAGCGACTTGTGTAAAAAAACATCTTTAATAGAAACATTTATATATTTAATTTTTTAAATAATGTTTATCTCTCTAAAAATATCTATATTTTTCAGATATATCTTAACAGAATATAACATTGATAATGTATCAATTACAATCTACAATGAAAATACTAATACAGACTTAGATTTTACACAAGACTTGAAAACGATACTGAACAATATTGAAACTGAAATAACAAATATAAGGGAAACGCAATCATTACAAGAGCAATCACTTTCAGAAATTAAAGAAACCACAAAATTGATTTTAGCTAAAATAAATAGTGAACAATATGGCAAAGAATATTATATGCTAAAGGATGATAAAATAAAACAAAAATTTCCCTTAACTTCTATTCAGAATCTTCTTGATTTCGATGATATATTAAAAGATGATCAACCCATATAGCAAGGAATATGTTAAAGATGTGCTATAAACGTTCTGTGAATATTCTAATATTCCAAGGTTCATTCAGAATATTCTATAAAAATGCTATGATTATTCCATGGAATTTTGTCTATTCGGAATATCGATAGAATATTCTATGAATAATTCTAATATATATAGTATATTTAGGAAATGCATGGAATGTTCTATAAATATTCTGATAAATATAGAATATTTGAAATATTTATAAAATATTCGGTAAATTATCTCAGAATATTCATAGCACTTTCTGTGAATATTCTGAGAAACGTTTCTAGATCTTGCTATGAACATTTCGATAATATTCTATGAATATTCTGAGAAACATGAAATATTTAGAATATTAATAGAATATGTTTTAAATATTATCTAGAATATTCCTGGAATGTTTTATATACATTTAATACACATTCTAAAAAATATTGAAAATATTCAATTCTATTCTACAAATATTTGAAGAATATTCTTTAAACATTCTATGATTTTATCAAAATCGTCTTCACATTTTATGATTTTTAAAAAATATTATATGATTATAAATCATTTTAAATATCCTAAAAGCGTTCTAAAAATATTGATTCTCAAAAATATATTTAGAAATATGTTTCATAGATATTTCAAAACACATTTTACGAAGATATTAATTTAATTCTTTATAATATATTCAAAGTACTGTACGAAAAATATAAAAATATTAGTAATTTAATTTTTCTTGAATATTTATGTATTATATTTTGAATTCGTAAAATGTCAAATTCGCACCAGACCGCAACAAAAGTTAGTTACGGTCTTATTGAATAAAAGAAGAGTGAGTAAGTAAGAATTGCTTCTCGCTTGCCGCCATATGCATGCTGCCTTGTTGCTGCGTGCTACGTGACCGCCGCGTGCCATTATTGTGTGTGCGTCGAAAACCGCTGTTCACGTTAGACTTGTGTAAGGACTTGTGTTTCCTTGGGCACTATTATTAATTAATCCACGGGCATTATTTCGGTGAGTATGAACAAGCTAAAACCTTGCTACAGCTAAATGCTATTTCGAAGGAAGGAAGGAAGGTTATTGTAATGTAATCGTGCGACACATCAAGACTGCAGTTTTATAAAATTATAAATCTAATACTTACGTTAATTGTCATGACTGTCGAGTGATTATCAAAAATATTTAAAATTGATTGCAAATTAATGATAATTTTTTAATATTTCTATATAGATATAAATTTGTAAGATCTATAATTTGAGAGGTTATGAAGTGCAGCACGCGTTTAATTCATAAACATATATATGCCTATTTGTATATACAACTAGACCCAGCATGCCGTGTGTTTACTTATGATATTCAGTGTCTTTGGCAGAACGGAGAGAGGGGCAAAACATACGGAAAACTTGTTCTCCTTTATGCAGATCAAATCGTCTCTTGACAACGAACTTGACAGCCTATTGTCTATAGTTTAATTACAATCTGGAAGTAAAAATAATTATTATCAATTATTTGTTACGGATATTGATACAATAATTTGATAAGTGTGTTTTATAAATCGCGTAGCATGTGTTTAATTATCATGGCAAAATTACAGATTTTATAATTATAAAATATGATTAGAAATCTTATTTAATATATTAAAATTGTCGGCAATGTAATATAATTTAAGGAGAACTTGTATATTTATGTTTCTAATTTTTGTTTCAGGTATTTTATATAAATATTCATAAAGATAAAAATAAACACATTAATAAGGTAATGTACAAAGATAATATTATTTGAACATTTTGTAAATTTTCGATTAATTTCTAATTAATATTTGTAAGTTTATATAATCTTATAATTTCAATTAATATTTACAGATAAATATGCCAAAAATAAAAATTAATTCTAAGAGACACTTGAATCGAAAAATAAAAAGCAATGTAGAAGCATCGTTGGCTTTAATTGAGTTGCAATGTCACACTAACTCAATTGAATCACCTGAAATTATTTTTTCGAACAATAAAGTGATAAACAATAAAGATGTAAATAACATAAATATTGGTACACAAAAAAAATGTTCTGACTTTCAGCTAACCAATACATCATTAAGTAAAAATAGTAGCGAAAATATAGAAGAGTTTAATTTTCATGTGAACAATATTGAAGAAAATTGTTTAAATGATATTTCGTTTATTTCAAATAATACTATGGTATTTCCAAATAACGATGACAGAGATAGTGATAGGGACATAATAAATAATAATAATAATTTATCTACTTGCGCTATAAATAAAGGTACATCATTGCGTACAAAATTAGCATCGTGGGCTATTGAGGAAAATATTACTCAAAATAGTTTTAAGAAACTTACAGAAATTCTCCGAAATGAAAATGATATAACTTCATTTCATAATTTACCAAAAGATCCAAGAACAATATTATGTACTCCAAACAATCTTACTTCTGTTAAAATGGACACCGGTTCTTTTTATTACTTTGGGATTGCTCACTCAATTAATGTATTAATTAATCAATGTGGTTTATTCCTTCCTAATGGTACATCTTTTGAATTAGCTGTAAATGTAGATGGTTTGCCTATTAGTAAAAGCAGTTTAAATTGTTTATGGCCAATATTAGTGCAAATAATGTCTGTTGAAGTTTTGAAAAAATATGTTTTAATGGTAGCTTTGTATCATGGTAATAGTAAACCAACAAACTCAAATGAATATTTAAAAAATTTTGTAAATGAAGCAATTTATTTGATTAATAATGGAATTGTTATTAATAATCAAAGATATAATTTTAAAATAAAAATTATAATATGCGATTCGCCCGCTAAATCTTATATTTTGAATATAAAAAATCATACCGGTTATTATAGCTGCACTAAATGCAAAGTAGAAGGTTGTTGGTTTAATAACGTATTGTGCTTTCCACAGACAAATATTATAAAAAGAACAGATGTTGAATTTAGACAACTACATGATGAAGATTATCACAAAGGGACAACTATTTTGACGAATTTACCTCATTTTCATATGATTAAAGATGTTACATTAGATTATATGCATCTTATTTGTTTGGGGGTGATGAAAAGATTGCTTACACATAAAAAATATGGTTGGGTTTTCGGTAAACAACCATATAAGCTTTCATATGCGCAAGTAGAATCGATTTCAGATAAAATCGAAAACTTAAAAAAATATATTCCTGTTGAATTTCCACGTAAAGGTAGATTGGAGAATGTCCTCGCTTCAAGGCGACAGAATTTAAACTCATTCTATTATATACAGGACCTGTAATTTTCAAACATATTCTTTCAACAAATAATTATTATCATTTCTTGACATTACACGTTGCTACTCTAATAATGTGTAGTAACAAATTTTGCAAAAAAATTCATATGCTAAATTATGCAAAAAATCTAATGAAATGCTTTGTTGAAACAAGTATTGATATTTATGACCAAGATTTTGTTTCTTATAATGTACATAATTTGCTACATATACATGAGGATGTCAAACGATTTGGCAATTTAAATGAATTTTCAGCTTTCCCATTCGAGAATTATATGATACAATTTAAAAAAATGATAAGAAAAAGAGAAAAACCACTTGAACAAATAATACGTCGTGTTTCCGAATGTAATAATATTCCAAGATTAGAGAATCACTCTGAAAATAATATTGTCGCCAAAGAACATTATAATGGACCCTTATTGCCAAATTGTTTAGGTCAATATAAAGAATTAAAATTAAAATCATGTATTTTCAAATTAAACACTGCTGATTGTTATGCACAAATGTGTGATAATGACATTGTTAAAATCTGCAACATAACATATTGTAACAATATTATTTGTATTATTGGGCAAACGTTTCTCGATAAAAAATCATTTTTTATGAAACCTTGTGATTCTGCAGTTCTAGATATTTATATTGTAAACCTTGACAAGCTTAGTTGTTTAAAAATATATTCATTATCAGATATTAAATGCAAATCAATGTTATTGCCATATAGAAATAATAATGCAGTAATTTTTCCTCTGTTACATAATGTTGTATAAAGAATTTAATATTTTTAATACTCTTTTATAATAAATTATATAATTTCCCTCGAAAAGTAAAAACAATATTATTGATAAAAGTTTACTGTCACGAATGTCTCAGGCCTTTTATTTTTTTTTCTCAGATTTCCTATTTCCTTTAAACGATTTTTAATGCCAACTATTTTTATACATGGATTTTTAAATTCAGAAATATGGCATGGTGTGTTTGCCATTTTCAAATAGATGACTCCGTAGAAGTTGTCCCAAATAATTGGATAATTAGTGAAAGTCTATGTGTGTGGCCATTGGTGACAAAACCATCTAAATTATCTGAGCTTATTAAAAAAAAAGAAGTTCCAAAAAATGATTGGAAAACAATAAGTGTCAGAATTTTAGGACGATATGGTACTAAAATACTTTAATATTTAATTTGCAATTTTTAGTAGTTATGTATTGTTTTAGTATATAATTGTGCCTTATATATGTATATTTTTTGTAGACGATTATAAAACAGCTCAAAGAAAATGCAAAACAGCATTAGACAGAGATAATCTCTCGTCACTATCTGAGGCTGCTGAATATGGAAAAGGACTTCGTGGACAGAAACGTAAAAAAATATATAGTGATACAGAAAATACCGATACCGATACCGAAAACGAGTGTAACGATGAAGAAGAATTGTCCATTAATTTTCCGACATATAATGCAGATAAAAGTATAGTTTCATCAAAATCGGCACATAAAGGTATGATTAATTAAATAAAATGGTTGTAAAAAATATTGATATTATTTTTCTAAGAAGTTTGTCCTCTTTAGATTCGACTAATACAGCACATAGTAATAAATCGAATAATTACCAATTCGAAGAAAACAAAAATAATCAAAATTCTGACAATAAAATTTTAACTGAGATTCATACTAATTTCCAAAGACATGCAAGTGAAATGAAAGGTAATATTATGGATAATTTATATATGTAAAAATATATATGTTTCAGTGCATATTATAGTGATATACTATGAATACTGTCTAAATCATTTGCAACAGCAATTCACAAAATATATTAAGACTTTGTTTTGTATTCATTTATGTTTCTAAATTTTTTAGAATTTCGACGCCAAGTTCTACTACATCTACATGGCATAAATACTCGAATGGGGGAATTGAATCAGCACATAGATTCATTACAGCAGCCTAATTTTCCTGTAGATCAAGAAAATCAAAATATAACAAATGAAGACTCACTAAAATGCATAGAAAATTTGCCTATAAAATCAAATCTCGAGCTTAAAGAAATTGAAAGAAGTTTACAAGATAAACAAATATTCAATGACGTAGTAAGATTATTATATTACTAATATTACATTATAATTATATAAAATTTACATATATTTTAGATAATAATATTTTTAGGCTACGGAATTATCGAGAATGGGCGGTAATAATCTTAAAATTATGGTGAAGAAAGTGATGTGTCGAATTATAACGGCAGAAATAGGAAGGTAATACAGCTGGGAAGGCCATAAAGGCAACCGGATTTTTAAGGATTTAAACCTGGCGAAATTAGTCCTAAGTAAATATTACAAATTTAATCTTAATTTAAGCTTAATTTTTATATGATTTAGAAAAGTTACAGTTTATTATTATTTTGTTGTTAAATTAATTAAAGTGAAAATATTTAAACCACTCTGATGCACGATTTCAAAAATATTTTTTAGTGAATTAAAATTTATTTGTTTGTAAGAAATTTTTTAATTGCAATAGATTAAGAAAAACTTCAAAGAAATGTGCTATAATATATATTTCGAAAAAAAGCAATTAAAATGTTCCTTATCATTTCAGAATCCATAAGACTTACTATGAAAAGAAGTGATGTACATATAACGGACAATGAAATTATCAACATCATTAAAATTTGGTTAGTTAAAGCCAAATTAAAAACAAAGAAGCCTTCATTGTCAGTACAGCAAACCAATTCTGAAACTAATCGTTCAACTGATAGTGAGCATTAAAAAGAAGTTCCTTGAAGTCTTAAAGTACAAATATCCGTGAAAATATTAAAGTATAAAATAAAATAACTGTAAGTTATTGTGAAGGTCTAAAATTAAATAACTTTGTGATAGAGAGTTTCTAAGTATTAGATTTAAGTAAAAGACCAAAAAATTAAGCCAAATATAATTAATTTTATTTTACGTTTTTAAATATAATTATAAGTATTTTGATAAAATGTTATCATCTATTATGATTTATTTTGCATTACAAGTAACACGATTTTATTTTGTTTCGAAATTAATTTTATTTTACGTTTTTAAATAATAAGTATTTTGATAAGATGTTATTATCTATTATGATTTATTTTGCATTACAAGTAACACGATTTTATTTTGTTTTGAAATTAATTTTATTTTACGTTTTTAAATAATAAGTATTTTGATAAGATGTTATTATCTATTATGATTTATTTTGCATTACAAATAACACGATTTATTTTGTGTGTTTCAAAATTAATTCTATTTTAGTTTTCGTTTAAGTTTTATTTCGAAATTAATTTTGTTCAGAAAGTGTATCTATGATAAAAACTAACTAAATTAAATGTGAAAATCACGGATATTTATATATTTTTCTTATTAATTTTATTTCCTTTCATATTTTCGTAAAGATATAAAACCGTACTTAATTGACCGTACTAACATTATATTAATGATTGAAGATTGAAGATTAAATATTAAAATTTGACAAATTAAAATAAAAGGGATTTAAATTTTTTTGTCCTGACTGGTGAAATTTCTATCTCTAATCTTGAATTTCAATCTTCAATGCATAGTTTGACAGGTATAAGATTCCCAGATAACATTCCTTGCGCGCAAAGTTTGCGCGTCTTATGTATATAAACTGTGTACGCGGTTTGCGTGAGTTTTGCCCGCAAGTTGGTTAAGCTCATGTACACCAGCGAATCACATGCAAATGGATACCATATTTGCTCGTAAATTGCTTGCAGTCGTTGTGTCCAAACGGACATATCCTGAACGCGCAGTGCACGCAGGACGCAGGCACCCAGATAACATTTCTTGCGCGCAGTTTGCGCGTCTTAGGCTGGTTCTACGTTAGTCGCAAGACGATCGTCTAATTTAAATACTGATAAATTGATATTAATAATCATACATTAAAAGACGCAAATTATTCAATAATTTCTCATTATAAAATTACGTTAATAATTATAATTAAATGTATATCTTAAAAACAATTATTTAGATTATTTTGAAAAATTAAAAATTTCATCAAAAGAAATATAATTTTCTATTATAAGTAATATTTTAATATTAATTGATTGATGAATATCTGCTGATCCGTAAAAATCAATAACAGTAACAATCAGCATTGACCGATCGATACGCGCTTCCGTGTAGTACGCGTTACGGGCCTGAGCGCGCCGATTCTACACAATCTCATTGGCAATCTTTGATCGCTTTTAACTCGAAAACTATTGTAGCCTCGATATTTTTGTATTAAGGTTTTTTACTCTATTTTATCTCAAGAATATATTATAAAAATATTGGGCGGTAGTTGTGGGACACCCTGTATATTTAAATTAATAAGTAATAAAATACATTTCATACAATTTTATTATATATATATATATATATATATATATAAATTTATATATTACATATATCTATAACTTTATAATAAATTTTGAAAATTAATTTGTTTTTACTTATAATAAGAAAAATTAATTTATTATGTCATATACCATAAATAATAAATTTAAATAATTAATAAATTTCAATAATAAAAATATACATATTTTTTTCTAAATGTAACATTTAACATTTAAATTTATTATGCATGTATATGAGGTAATATATTAATTTTTGTTATTTGTTGTAAGCAGAAACAAATTTTCAAAATTTATGGCATCCGCGGCAGTGCGTACTCTCCGCCTAAAGGGCCTCGCACATAAAATGCATAACAGAACATAAGCATAACATAAAATCGTTGGACCAATAAGCTTCGAGCATAAAGCCATATTGCTGGATGCTCGATGCTCATTGGTCCAACGGTCTTATGCTACGCTTATGTTCTGTTATGCATTTCATGTGCGAGGCCCTTAACCCTAACCTGACTATAACGCTTTGTGCCATTGTGCCTCGTGCCTCGTGCTGTGCCATGTGTGCATTAGTTATAATTATTTACTTTTATTACGCGTTTTATTACATATTTTATATATTTGTGACACCTGCATTAGACTGCACGTTTTGAATACTGTTTCGCTGGTAAGTACGCGCATTTTAGATAATACTAAATATTTTAACATTATTATATGAAATCCTTATTATAACTTCACACTTTCACAGCGTCCTTCTAAATAAGATATAATTTCAATGATATTTTTATTGTATTCAAATTTTAATTTACAATTCGTAATTTCTTATTATATTATCACGGTATTATTTTTCTATTATTGTTGAGAGCTTTAATATGTCTTATAATTACGGGGATTAATTATTACTTTCTTTTACAGATATTTATTCTGTTATTTCCAGCTTGGGGTGATATAATTAATTGAAGGTAAATATAATTAATTGAAGGTGATATAATTAATTGAAGGTAAATGTGTTTAATAATATTGGATTCATATACTGTTAACCTTATTTTCAATTGTATAACGATTTACAAGTTAAAATCATGCAGTTGTACTTTGGATGGTGTGTTTTTCTGTATAAGTGTTTTTAGAAAAATAATGTACATGGCAAAAAACTATTTTATTGTCAAATATATCTGCAGCAATTGATGTCTGTCACTCGAGGGATTACATCGATTGCGGATTATTGCAAGAAATATAATATTGCATGTTTAATGTCGTGATTATAATTATAATTATATGTTGTGTTTTAAAGTGTACAAACATTTTTATTATTTATATATTTTATATAATTTTTCGATAAAGCACAGGGACAAGTATAATTCTTCAAATGTCATATTCCTACACGGAGAAAATTTTATATTACATATTACTATGATGTCGTGCTACTGTGGACCATCAAGGAATTATAAATTTATTTACTATGGCGACACTTTGTCGCCATAGCACTTAAACTTATAATTTCTTGGTTAGTCACAGGTTAGTGCGGCACCATAGAATATATGTAATATAAAATTTTCTCTGTGTACAGATGTCATGTTTTTGTCAAGTACATTATTGCATAGAAAATAAATATACAAAAAAATCTTTATGACAGTTGTCATATTGTATATGTAATAATATATTATATATTATATATATTACCTTGCATACTATCTTATTTATTTTCCTCATATTTTCAGCATAAAACAAATTATAATTATTTGTATATATTTTTATTTTATTTTATTCTACATTTATTCTATACATTACTTCTATATAAATTCCTGTTATTTTTATAAACTTTCCTATAATTGTTATAATTCCTATTAATTGTATATAGCTGTTTGTAATTGTAGAATGTTTTATAATTTTATAAAGTTTTAGTTTTTTTTTTTTTTTGAATTTTGAATTTAATTCTACAATAAATTATATAAAATATTATTAATAAATTATATAATTACACAATTAAATTTATTACTATTTTTAACAAAATTATAAAACATTCAAAAATTAAAAACTGCTAGTTATGCATATAATTTATAGTATAAGAAAATATTTAAAAATGACAGGAATTTATATAAAAGTAATGTATAGATTTAATGTAGAATAAAATAATATAAAAATATATACAAATTATTTGTGTTATTTTTATACTGGAAATATGAAGAAAATAAAGAAAATAGTATTTAAGGTGAAAAATACTTACGTTTGCGTCTCAATGACCTTATAATTTATATTTTGAACGATATATGCATGTGTGGCATGTGCATTTTTGAAAACCGATTTCCACAATACAGGCAATCTATTATATGCTTATGTGAGCTTCATATACGGTGTTTCAATTGCCTTAACATTTTGTTACGAAGAACATGCATTATTATATGTTATAATCATAATTATTATTATTACATAATTTATATTTTGTCATAATTTCTTATGATTTCAAATGATTACACATATATGAAATAAATTTGTATGATATATTGAAAGATAAAGTATTGAATCTTTAATATGACTTAAGAGAATTATACAAAGTGTCCGGTAATAATCGCCCCATCTCTCATGGGCAGATAGAGAAGGTCAAATCGAGTAGAAAAATTCTCTACCATTTTGTAATTTTTGCAATAATTATTGAGAAATTAATTTAAAAAGATTTGACATATTTTGACATAAAATACAAAATATCTCGTAAAGTATTTAGTTTTTAATAATTTTACCGTAATACTCTTATGCATAGAATAGTCAGACAAATCAATTGGTGCAAAGAAAACGTATAGTTGTCTCGAAGAAAAAATGTATGACACTGCATGTTGCAAATTGCATACAATTTCTTTAGAGACGACTAAGCGTTTTCTTTGCACTAATTGATTCGTCTTACTATTCTGTGCAAAAAAGTATTACGGTAAAATTATTAAAAACTAAATACTTTACGAGATATTTTGTATTTTATGTCAAAATATGTCAAATCTTTTTAAATTAATTTCTCAATAATTATTGCGAAAATTGCAAAATGGTACATGATTTTTTGACTCAGTTTGGTTCGCTCTACCTGCTCACAAGCGTTGGCTCGATGTTTCTGAAACATATATATATATATATATGTTTTTGAAAGTATATATATGTATATATAAATTAAAATTATAAAATATGTCATATTTTCTTTTATATTGTTACTTATAAAATTTAAGATAGAAAAATATAACTATATATTTTCAGTAAATTTGCAATCATTTTCTTGTATTTTTTGTATTCTTTATATTGTATTGTTTTGTTTCGTATTCTTATTTTCATAAAAAGAATAGGTGATGCAATTAAGCTATATGTAATAATAATCCGAGTTTATCGACGTTTTCAGTTCTGATTTTTATATTTTAATATTTTCTTTTATTATATTTAATTCTCAATAGAAGCTGTAGTTCTTCTTTAAACTGATTCCTGCCTTAATGTAATCTGCAATACAATATATTTGAAAACTTTAGAGAATTTTAGTTATAAATTTTTAAAAATTTTATAAACTAGACTATTTATAAATTACAGCCTAGAGATTATTCCACAATGAAGACGATTTATGATCGTCCATCTCAGAAGCCATTTAATTGCCTTTCTGTTCGTCAACAACAGCGAATAAAGAAAGCAATCAAGGAAAATGAGCATAACAGAACGATACATGAAAAAACATACAATACAAGATCAGTAGATGATTATCTGTTTCAAGTGAATACAAAAGATGGAATGTGCAATGAATCTTTATGTTTAGATGTAAATTCTTCGAATAATGAATTATTTCCGTTTCAAAATGAAGAATCTAATGCGGAATTTTCTGAAATAGATTCTGATGAGGATGTTAGGATTAACCGTAATTATACTGATGAAGAATGTGATTATTCTGACGACAACAATATTGAAATAATTGATAATTTCCAAAAACAATTAGCTTCTTGTTTCGTTCAAAATAATTTCACTCATGTTCAGGGAAATGCAATATTAAAAGTATTAATTTCTCATTCTTGTTTTTCATATTTACCTAAGGATGTACGCACTCTTTTAAAGACTCCTTCTAATACTGGAGAAATTGTAAAATTTGAAGATGGAGAATATGTTCATATTGGCTTCGAAGTATCTATTATTGCAAAATTATCTAACATGCATTCTCATGCAATTCCACTTTCCTTAGAGATAGATATAGATTTATACTGATGGGCACAATTACATCGTAATGGAAAAATTCAAATTTGGCCTATTCAATTCGAATTTACAATATAACTGATAATAGTCCTGGAATAGTTGGAATATACAAAGGTTATAAAAAACTAATAATCCAAAATATATTTTTAAATATTTATTGGAAGAAATAAAAAATTTCTAATGCTAGAGGTATTGTTTATCGAAATAAATTAATACCTATATATTTATAGGAGTTTTATAGCCGATGCTCCCTGCTAGGCATTTATTTTAAATCATAAAGCTCACAATGCCAAGTATCCTTGTTCTAAATGTAGAGTTTCAGGTCTTTATTTAAATGGAGTAATGTCTTTCCTTGGTACAATTCATGAGCCTCGTACAGATAATGAATACGCACAATGGATATATAGTAATCATAATAATAATGAGATAATTAGTCCTCTGTTACAAATTCCATTAAATATGGTATCTCAAGTACCATTTTGATTACATGCATTTAGTGTGTCTAGGCGTGGTAAAAAGACTTTGTAAAGCATGGTTGATTGGAAATTTTTCAAAATCCGCTAAATTATCTGCTAGACATATTGACTTGATATCTTCAAGATTGGAAAGTATACAGAAATATTGTCCGTAGAATTTTTCTCGACCACCAAGATCTTTGAAAGATTGGAGAGATTATAAAGCCACAGAATTCCGACATTCTTACTATATACAAGTCCTGTTGTACTAAGTGGAATATTGCAAGAAGATGTTTTTGCATTTCTTGTTGCTTCATACATCAATACGTATATTAATATCTTCAACATATTCACAAAAATTATTGCATTTCTCTGATATTGCATTAAAAAAATTTGTTTTATTATCTGAGAAATTTACGGCAAAGATTTTATATCTTACAACATTCATGGCTTGTTACATTTAACAGAAGATGTCAAAAGATTCGGACCCTTAGACACCATTTCTACTTTTCCATTTGAGAATAAAATTCCATTTATCAGAAAATATATCAGAAAGCCACATTCTTTGCAGCAGTTTATTCGAAGAATGAGTGAATATCATGGACAATCAATACACTATGAAAAGTTGACAATGAAATAATCACTTCGAGTACACAATCACATGAATCTGGTCCATTAATTCAAAATGAAATATTTCTTCTTTGTAAGCAATATAGAAAATTAGAATACAATAACATGATTTTTAGTCTTCGTCTTAACAATAACTGTTGTCTTTTGAAATGTTCATCAATTTGTTGATTCAAAATATTCTTATAGCGGATGAACAATATTATTTTATTGTAAAAAAATTTAAATACGTTAAACATTTTATGATGTTGGCATTTATCTGATAAAGTTGAATTTTTTTTATGTTCAGAATTACTTAATAATGAAATTGTACCTTTAACAAATGTTGTAACAAAATGTTACAGAATGCCATTTTTTGAAACCGATAAAAGTGATAATAGTAGCAATAATGAAGGCACTGACATATATAAGTTTGTAGTAGCTGCTATAAATTTTTATAATAGATTTTCAATTATTTAATGTTTTGTTTTTACGCTATTTTTACTTTTGATTATGGAAAAGATTATTTTTGTTCTTTTTTTGTACATATTTCATACATCTTTATTATTCACATGAGGGACGGTCCTCTTTAGAATTTAAAAATTTTTTAATTATGAATATGCTTTTAATGTGTGGGATTTATTTATTATACATGGTACGTTTACAGTAAAAATTACATAAAAATATTTTCTTTTACATTTTATTGCAAAATAGGAATATAACAACATAATATTTGTTACTGTAAAATTGTTAATTTTATGTACAGGGTGTCCAATGACTCGAGGTCCATAGCTTAAGAGCGTGTTATTGAAGTCATTTAGAGTTAAAATTGTTTAATAAACATGTTCGAAACTGCTTCCTAACAGATAATCCCATAATATATACCTAATATATAATTCGCTGTATACCATATACGTACAAGTGCAGGATTCACAGTATTTCCGTGCTTGATATACATAACATTCATAAGTTTGAGTCAGACTTTTGACATTAAAATTAATGACAGTGAAGTGAATGTCCCGTGGGTAATGAATGTAAAAGGTAAGCAAAATTGATATCTTTACATTTTTTGTTGCACTCAACTGCACTCATACGTTACTATAAGTTACAATTCTTTACTCTATTTTTACAATGTATTTTTTATTAGCTCATCAATTGCGAATCAATAACTTACTATCAAAAGCGGCATGAAAAAGAAGAACAATGATACAAAAACGTATTTCTGTAGAAATTGATAAGACCTTTTTTGGGATTAGATACATTGAATACGAGTTTCAGTCGATTCTGACAAGAAAATTACCAGTCCACCAAGAAGTCCATCAATATTTATTCCGTGGATATCCTAGAACATATGACAAGAATCTGATGAAGCAATCTCGACTTGTGTTTCAACTAGCAAAGCACAAGAAAGAAAGATATTATGCCAAATAAACCAGCTAAAAGCATATTGCCAAAACAGAAGAAAGTTCCAATAAGTGATATTCCTCTAGAAAAAGTATTTGTTACTTTCGAAAAGTAATACTTCAAGCACCAATGAAAGTCGAGGGTGATGTAATAGAGCTCAGTCTACAGAGAGTAGATTAATAGAGCTAAGACGTTTAAAAGAAAATTAAAGAGGAATGACATCAATTTATGTGATACGGGAATAGACTACCTGTGGAAATATTACTGAAGAAGACAGGTAAATATTTTTTAATACAAGTTAATGTAATTTTCTTTGCCCATCTGATACATAAAAAATTATTTGCAAGGAAAAGAAGAAAGAAAAACATCCCAGAGCAACTTGAATATGCGACGCAAAGGTGATAAAGCAAAAATAGATGGCTGGGATTGCTGGGAAATGCAACAGGTAATAGATTAACAAATATATACATATAATTGCATTAAAGCACATTTTTTTACAAAAAAAGAATTATTTCTAATATTGTTTTATTTTCAGTATATAAGAATTTGTCGTTGATGGGAGAAGAGTTAAAGAAACGGGAAAAATCAAGTCTCGCGGTCACCGACATAGATACGAAAGACCAAATACACCAGAAGGTACACCATAAGTGTTGTGTATTTCCATATTTTACATAATACATATAATTTATACATAAACATATATAATGATAAACGTTTGAAATTTTTGTACAGGTTTTTAGGGATTTAGAATTCCTGAAACATCATCCACTTTACCGTGAAAAATTAAATTGAGACATTAATTCAATTACCAAACAAGTAAGGACATATATGTTTAAGTACTGGTAATAGTAAAAAATATTTAAATTGGCATTTCGAGTGGAGAATCATTTAATTAATTGCTTGGTAATGTACCAAGAAAATTTGTGCCTTGTGCACAGCATTTAGCTTCGTAAAAAAATTAATTTTCTACAAAGCTCAATTGCATCTACCATCCGCGTTTGCTCAATTTTTTTTTATGCCTCGATTATTTACATTTGTAACTTTGATCTTATGAACTGTCATTCTAAATTTGTTTATAAATATTTGTTTTTCAATTATTCATGTTTTTTGGTATTCTTAAAGTTTGATAAAACTAAACAAACATAAAAATCCTGTATTCAAATTTATTACATGCGTCCAAATAGGACTGGGAGGAAGTGATTAAAACTTTCTAGATTTGAAAACATAGATCATTTGTAGTTATTTTATCATGGTAATATTATATATTTTTGGATTTAACAATAGTGAGATTTATACACAGGGCATTATATATAATAGGGCCGTTTCGGGGTAAACAATACACTCTCGTGTACCACGTAGCGACGGGCCGCGGTTACTTAACAGTGGAGGAGAGTTATACAGTTACTGTATTTCGATTATTTGGGCATTATCCGGGATTTGTGTAATTTACTATATTTATGATCATTAAACATACAGAGACTTATATACACGTAAAATATTTTTGCTTAATTTACAGTAATTCACTTTTACCAAGTTCAAAATATATACTCTCAGTGCACACGAAATTATGTTCGACACGTAGTATTAATCAAAAAATTGTAATGATTACAACAGTGAGGCTACAAAATCGTACTTATTCCTAGTAGAGCTATTCGTAAAGAAATATTAGTTATCATGCAATTATATGCATCCATGTCTATGTGTGCGATAATTATTTTATATATATTTCGAATTCGAGAAGCAAATAACTAATGCGATTTATCCTTTGAACGGCCAAATATGAACTATATGGTTCACAGTATATTAACCTGTTGCATAAAAAAAGAATTTATTATACGAGTATAAAATAAATTATTTTAGAAAAATATAAATTAAATTATCTTTTTTATACAAAGAAATTTTTTTTGTATTTTAGGAATTATGTAAAGAATAATTATTATGGTAACAATTTCTTTATTTACTCTTTTAAAACTATTAATAATTTAATTTTAAAACTTCGTAAATCTCATTAAATTAAATAAATATAGCTATTCAAATATATCAAAATAATTAATGCATAAAAAGGGTTCTTATCTACTACTCTTAAATTAAATGGACCTTTCTCTAATTGAATCACAGAGAGAATATATTGCGGTTAACTAAATTCCTAAATTTGCTTAGAGAACACTAATACAATATTTACTTGTGGAAATAATTTATTTTATATAAGTTATCCAGGTTCTGTGATTTTACAGATCTTTCTTTTTTGATGTTAGTCTCCATGACACAATTTCACAATACATACAAAAGATTTTAGCGCTCGCACAGGATTAAGTTTCACGTACAATGACTTGATAATAGACAATGATCAGTCCCACATGAGAACCATGATATATAAATTCCAGTTAGAAGCGCTTTACGTGAAATATTCGACGCTACTTTGCTTTCAAGTTATAGTCTGGAAAATAGTATTCACATCCGATTCCGATGATACTGTCCATATTATCCTTCGAAAATTTTAATCGTTCAGATATTTTGTTTGAAGAAA